GTGTTAATCCTTTAATATAAACTGACTAATTATTATTTAATTCAAAAATAAAATATTAAATGATTATTCAGAATTAACAAAATAATTATCTTATTTTAATTTAAGAAATAAGATTAAATTAACGTTATTTTATAAAAAAGACTGCTGAAAATTAATGCAAAAAAATGGAGTCAGAGAGCAGAAGCAGGAAGCGGGGAGATGGAGGCAATCTTTAAAAGTGTCGGAAATTTTGGTCATCAGAGATAAAATCCACTAGCTAACTGAAAAAATTCCTCTTGCATATTAAAGGCGGCAAATTTCACTTTCCCATCTTTCCCTTCAATCTCTTCCACAACCCCTCCCCGTCCCCTCTCCCCCTCCCCCTTTCACCAACATTGCTGCTTCCTACTTTCGTTCCTCTTTACGCCATACAAACCGCCAGGATTTCGCTGATATGGGTTTGTTCACTACATGCTCGGAACCATCTAATAAGTTAGAAGGTCAACAATGTCCTTTGCCTTTTCGGCGCAACTAATTGCTAAAAGAGATAAATTTAATGCATGATTACACGGTTTCAACAAGTTGTAGTTATTACACATATGCGCTAAAATAAAATGCAAATTAAGGGCGTCGTTATTATCCAATTTTTATTATATTTTTGGCCGGATATATTCATTAAAATTACGGTTCTGTTTTCTTCCCATCCGTTGCATACTACTACTACTGCATGTGTGTTGCATTCACTTACATCTGTTAATAGCTATTTATACATCTCAAAGACTTGGTATAGCTACGCCTGATGCGTAGGAGCAATCCAGTAGCAACAGACTGCCTTGATCTTTAAATATCAAATAAGTAATAATATCTGAGAGTGACTAGAGAAGTAGTAATAATAAAAATTGGGAAAGAAAAGATAAAATAAGTGCAAAGACTAGTAAACAGGAAGTGCTAATAAAAAAAGCAATCGGAAAAGATGTCATGTAGGAAAAGCATCAAATTCTAACAAATTTTTTCTTATATTCAACAAAAATGGAGCAAATGGGGCATCGGCTCCTCCCAAACACAGGGTATTTTTTCAACATCAGAAAATATAAGATGCGATTAAAAAATGTAAAATGCAATTGGAAATTAAATAAAAGTAAAGTTTAAAAAAGTTTCAAAAGAAAATAAAATATGGCCCCACAAATACGAAATCAACAAGTCCACCTCGAAAAAACTACATGATAATATTAGCTGCCTTTTGGAACAGTTAGCAGAGTCCTTGATTTCTAAGCATGG